TTAATCCCCCCAATAATTTTCACCCCCCCAATCCCTTCAGTCCCCCCGACATTTTAGCTCCCCGATCATTTTCACCCCCCCGATCCCTTCAGTCCCCCCGACATTTTAACTCCCCGATCATTTTCACCCCCCCGATCCCTTCAGTCCCCCCGACATTTTAGCTCCCCGTTTCAGCCCCGCCGGCTCCAGCCCCGTGCCCGGCCACTCACCGACCATGTGTTTGCGCACGTGGGCCATGGTGTAGAACTTCTTCTCGCAGATCTCGCACGAGAACTTCTTCTCGGCGTAGCCGTGCACGATCTTTTCAGGCCCTGAGCTCTCCCTGGATCCTTCCCTTCTCCAGGGGAACATTCCCAGCCTGTTTTTTCCCCTGATGATTTCAATTTCCCCAATAATTTTAATCCCCCTGATAATTTTAATTCCTGATAATTTCAATTCCCCCGATATTTTTAATTCCCCCGATAATTTTAATTCCCCCATTTCAATTCCCCAACAATTTTAATTCCCCCAATAATTTTCATCCCCTGATCCCTTCAGTTCCCCCAACATTTTAATTCCCCGATCATTTTCATTCCCCTGATCACTTTAATTCCCCCGATCATTTTCATCCCCCTGATCACTTCAATCCCCCGATATTTTAATTCCCCCAATAATTTTCATCCCCCCAATCACTTCAATTCCCCCGACATTTTAATTCCCCCAATAATTTTCATCCCCCCAATCACTTTAATTCCCCTGATATTTTAATTCCCCCCACCATTTTCCTCCCCCCCTTGCCCCGGGAATTCCCTCACCTCGCAGCGGAAGGGCTTCTCCCCCGAGTGCTGCAGGGAGTGCACCTTGAGGGACATGCTGCGCTTGAAGGACTTGCCGCAGGTCTCGCAGGTGAAGGGCATGTCCTTGGTGTGGGCTGCGGCAAAGACAGGGGCGTCACGGGGGGAAATCCAGGGAAAACCGCCGGGGGAGGGGTATTCCCGAGGATTCCAGGCAGCAGGAATAGTCCTGAGCGTTCCTGGAAGCACAGGCTGGTCCTTGTTCAGCACGGGGGATTTGGGGTGGAGAACGAGCTCGGCCAGCTGGGGCTGGCTGGGTTCCATGGAATTCCCAAATTTTGGGGTTGGAAGGATCCAGAAGATCCATTCCCAGCCCTGCCCGGGCTGGGACACCTCGAGCTATCCCAGAGCTATCCCAGCTGGCCATGGGTACATCCAGGGATGGAATTTATCCAGTTCAGGATGGAAATGCTGAGAGCTGAAGGTGACCCAGAAACTCAGGGGAGGGGCTGATCCTGACGGGTGGAAAAGCAGGAATTATCTGGGAAAAGAGCTTCCCTGGGAATTCCGCGGAATTCCAGCCCCACGCTCCCAGCCAGGAATCCCATCCCAAATCCCACCCCATCCTCCTCTCCCCCAGGGATCCCTGGATTACCACCCCTGCTCCCAGGAGTTTCCCCCTTCAATTGAACAGGAGATGAACCAACCAATGCCTGAATAATAATTATTGTTATTATCATTAATAAATTACTAATTAATTATTAAGAATAATTCTAATAATAATATTTCTGTCCCTCCATGCCTTGTCCCAGTCCCTCTCCTGGAGCCCTTCAGGCCCTGAGCTCTCCCTGGATCCTTCCCTTCTCCAGGGGAACATTCCCAGCCTGTTTTTTCCCCTGATGATTTCAATTTCCCCAATAATTTTAATCCCCCTGATAATTTTAATTCCTGATAATTTCAATTCCCCCGATATTTTTAATTCCCCCGATAATTTTAATTCCCCCATTTCAATTCCCCAACAATTTTAATTTCCCCAATAATTTTAATTCCCCCGATAATTTTAATTCCCCCATTTCAATTTCCCCCATAATTTCAATTCCCCCAATAATTTCAATTCCCCCAACGATTTTAATTCCTGATAATTCCAATTCCCCCGATCATTTTCATCCCCCCGATCACTTCAATTCCCCCGACATTTTAATTCCCCAATAATTTTCATCCCCCAATCCCTTCAATTCCCCCGATATTTTAATTCCCCAATAATTTTCATCCTCCCAATCCCTTCAATTGCCCTGGGGCTGCTGGGCTGGGAGAGTCCAGCCCTGGAGAGGGGAAATCCAAACGAGGGAAAATCCAAACCCTGGAGAGGGAAAATCCAAACCCTGGAGAGGGGAAATCCAAACCCTGGAGGAGGGAAAATCCAAACCCTGGAGAGGGAAAATCCAAACCCTGGAGAGGGGAAATCCAAACCCTGGAGAGGGAAGGATCCAAACCCTGGAGAGGGAAGGATCCAAACCCTGGAGAGGGAAGGATCCAAACCCTGGAGAGGGAAGGATCCAAACCCTGGAGAGGGAAGGATCCAAACCCTGGAGAGGGGAAAATCCAAACCCTGGAGAGGGAAGGATCCAAACCCTGCCAGTGAGAAGTACCCAAACTCTTGGAGTGGGAAAATCCAAACATTTTCAGTGAGAAGGATCCAAACCCTTGGAGAGGGAGGATTGAAACCCTTGGAGAGGGAGGAATCTAAACTCTTGGGAGTGGGAAAATCCAAACCCCCGGAGTGGGAAGGATCCAAACCCTTGGAATGGAAAAATCCAAACCCTTGGAGTGGGCAAATCGAAACATTTTCAGTGAGGAGGACCCAAACCCTTGGAGCAGAAAGAATCCAGACCCTTGGAACGGGAAGAATCCAAACTCTTGGAGTGGGAAAATCCAAAACCATGGAGAGGGAAGATCCAAACCCGTGGTGCAGAAAAAAAATCCAAACCCTTGGGGTAGAAAGAATCCAAACTCTGGAGAGGGAAGGATCCAAACCCTTGGAGCAGAAAGAATCCAAACATTTTCCAAACCCTTGGAGTGGGAAAATCCAAACTCCTGGAGAGGGAAGAACCCAACAGAGCTGGAGGAGGCCGACACCATTAAATTCCCAAAGCCCCATCCAGCCCTTCCTGCCCCCCCAAATCCAGGTGTGGCCACTCCAGGCTCTGCCATCCCTCTGGATCTCCGTGGGAAGCAGCTTCCATCCCGCTGGACACTCTGGGATCAGCTCCTGGAGGAAATCCAGGCACCAGCTCCTCCCGCTGCGCTCTCTTCGTTCATTAAAGGTCCAAAGTCACACTGGAGGCTGAGAATTCCTTCCCAAAACTCCCGTGGAATGTCCAGACAATCAGGATTGCAGGCAGCTCTTCCTTTTCCCGGCAGCTCTTCCCAAAAAAACTTCATGTGTAAAAATTCCCATGTGGAAATTCCAGCTGGAAATCCCAGAGGAAACCAAATCTTCTTCACCTCGGAGGGCACGGGGAGGAAGTGTGCCTTGTCCTGGGGTTTTTTGGGATGTCTGGGGTTTTTGGGATACCTGCACTTCCCAGCCCATCAATTCCCCATCAGTCAGAAGGGCTGGGTGCTGATTAATGAGCAGGTTAATCAGTTTGGAATGTTTCCTCTCCCCTGCAGGTTTGGGAATTCTGGGATCCCCTCCCGGGAGGGAAAAAAAATTCCTGCAGAGCAAAGAAATTCCACGGAACCATCCCCAAAATCCTTGGATTTACAGAGAAAGGAGCCCTTGGAGGGGCCAAGCCACACCAGAATTCAGGATTGAAACACCAGCACGGAGAGAGGAACCACACAGAGCTCAAGGTGACCACAGAAATCCCCTCAAGGTGCTGACTGTGATGGGTGAAAAAGCAGAAATTACCTGGAAAAACAGATTTATTCCATCCCCAGGATGAAAAACTGGGAGGAGCCAGCCTTGATTTTCATTGCAATCCCATATTAAACCGGTTTTATTCCAGGGCAAAGCTCCCCCTCGACACATTTAACCCTGAACCGAGGGAAATTTTGATTTTCCCTCAATCTCGCACGAGAACTTCTTCTCGGCGTAGCCGTGCACGATCTTGATGTGCTCGTGCAGAGACCAGAGCTTCTTGAAGGATTTGTTGCAGGACACGCACTGCGGGGACACAGAGGGAGCTGGGTTAGGGGTAGGCCAGGTTTGGATAAAAAAAAAAAACCCAAAAATGGTGAAAAAGGCGACTGAGAATGTGGATTTTGGGGTTAGAGCTGAATAGAGGCTGTAAAAATGTGGATTTTGGGATTTACACCTGAAGGGAATGGTGGCAGTGAGAATGTGGATTTTGGGATTTACAGCTGAGGGAATGGAGGAAGTAAAAATGTGGATTTTGGGGTTACAGCTGAGGGGCGGAAGTAAAAATGTGGATTTTGGGGTTACAGCTGAGGGGCGGAAGTAAAAATGTGGATTTTGGGAATACAGCTGAATATAGGCAGTAAAAATGTGGATTTTGGGGTTACACCTGAACAGAGGCAGTAAAAATGTGGATTTTGGGGTTACACCCGAGGGAATGGAGGCAGTGAGAATGTGGATTTTGGGATTTACAGCTGAGGGAATGGAGGCAGTAAAAAAAAGGGATTTTGGGGTTACACCTGAATAGAGGCAGTAAAAATGTGGATTTTGGGATTTACAGCTGAGGGAATGGAGGCAGTAAAAAAAAGGGATTTTGGGGTTACACCTGAATAGAGGCTGTGAGAGTGTGGATTTTGGGGTCACACCTGAGGGGAGGGGAGGCAGTAAAAATGTGGATTTTGGGATTTACAGCTGAGCTGGAAAACACATCCCAAAGGCAGGACAGAACAAGAATTGCTGGATTTGTTCTTGGATCTTGAGGACCTGAAGGTGACTCTCAGTGCTGCTGGCACCAGGAGGTTTCTGGACCAGATTCCTCTGGATTTAAATCATAATTTCTATAATTTCTCATTTTTTTATCACTTTTGGACACATATGTAGATTGATACAGGATATTTCACCACTTTATGTGTTCAAAATATTCACAAATTCCTTCTTAAATTTTAATTCCTGCTTTAATTCCTTTATTTTTTAATTCCTGCTTAAATTTTATGCTGTGAATGAACCCCCTCATGCTGGGGCACCTCTTAAATTCCCATTTAAATCCTCCCTGCTGCACTGAACTTTTAAAATATTTCTTTGAAAAGCATCAAAAATTAAATTCATATTAATAAATCCTTCCTTGAGCTGAAACTTAAGGGAAAAAAAAACCAACCCAGAGTTACACAGAGAGCTTGGAAAAGAGAAATTACAATAAATATTCCACATCTCCCACACAGTGGGAGCTGAGGATCAACCCAGTTCAGCATTGAAAGCAAACAAACAATGAAAAATATTCAATTCTTCTGCTCAAACTCTCACACAAAAAAAACCCCTCCTTGCCCTACAAATTCCAGCTGCCCAAAAATCCAAGCGGAGCCGCTGCTGCTGGCAGGATTGCAGCAGGAGGTGGGGGAAAATAAGGCCAAAAAAGCAGATTTGGGGTGCCAGGGAAAGCAGCAGTGCCCCGGTTCCCTGGCACAGAGCTGCCAGGCACAAACCCCAGCAGGACCAGAAACTCTGGAGCTCTTCCCACAGCTCCCAAAATTTCCCAGCAGAGCTGCTCCTCCCATTGCCGGGGGAAACCAGGGCTGCTGCTGGGGAGAAAAAAAATGGCAATTTTTGTGTCTTCGGGGAGATTTGCTGGGGTTTCCTGCTGGAAGGGGCAGGCTCGGGGTGCAGTGCTGAATTCCAGCCCTTCAGAAACACTCTGGGAGTTCCCGTGGTCTCAGAGGGGTTTAAACCCCGCTTTAAGCCCAGCTCAGATCCTGGCTCCACTGCTGCCTCTGGGATCTCAGAGAATTCCCATTCCAGGGAATTCCTGCAATTCTGTTTCCCCTGGAAAGCTCACCTGGCTTCCCACGCTGTGGGACTGCATTTCAGGACACGGAAACCCCTGGAATTCTAAACTCAGTGGGAGCTGCGGGTGCTCGGCAGGAGGAGGAGGAGGAGGAGGATTTACCACAGAACTTCAGATTTTTGGGACCAGTTACTCCAGATCCTGACCCTGCTAAAGCAGCTTTGTGCTCCCAACTCACAGTTTACTCCTAGAGTAACTGCTCAGAGCAGCTGAGCACTTTTTCCCTGCCATTCCCTCCTTTTGGGGAGACCCCAAAATGCGGGATAAGGCAGAGCCCGGCCCGGCTCAGCAGCTGGGGCCGTGCAAAAAGCGATTTTTCCCCCTGTGAAGCGTCCACCAGCCGGATCCAGGGCACGCCAGGAGGTGTGGGGACCTGGCAAGCAGGCGAGCAGACCTACCTGGATGTTTTTTTCACAGTCAGTTTGCTGGTGGAGGGACAGCTCACTCTCTAGCACAAATTTCTTCCCACATTTGTCGCAGATCTGCATCCGCCTGTGGGTGACGTTCATGTGCTTCTCCAGGTACCAGCGTGTGTTAAACACCCTGGGGCACTTCTCACAGGTCAGAGTCTCCTTCTCTTCACACTTTGATTTCTGCACAGGTGCCTTGGGCTCCTTTGCAGCTTTCTTCTTACGCTTGGGGGGCTCCGCGCTCTTCCTGCGCCCCCGCGTCGCTCGGGGCGCCGGGGAGGCGGCGGCGGCCGCGGCAGAGGCGGCTCTCCTGCTTCTCCTCTGGCCAACACTAACCTTCTCCACTCTTTTCTCCTTTTTCTTCTGCCTCTCATTCTCCTCATAATCATTACTGTCTTCCGTGGCCTCTTCCCCACTGTCACCCTCCTCTTCCTCACTGCTGCTCTTAAGGACAGCAGTCTCTTTGGACTGGGAGGGGACACCCTTCTCCCCTTTGGACACATTTAAGGTTTGGTTGTTAAGGTTTACCTCCACTATAATCTGCTCCCTTTTGTAAGTCACTTCATCTTCCTCCTCTTCCTCCTCCTCAGAGTCGTCAGAGTTTTCCCTGTCTTCTTTCACAGCCCGGACCTCTCCTACCGCTCTGCTCTCCCTGAAAAACGGCTGCTCCTCCCTCTCGTGGAGGTGGCCCTTGCTCACTTTGCTGTCCACCAGCACCGAGAAGGGGCTCCCTGACTCCCTCTTGTACACCTTGGTGGACAGGTCGAGCTCCTGGCTGGGGTAGAAGGCGGGCGGCCCCTCCTGCGCCATGCCGGCCCCGGGGGGCTCCCCCTTGGCTGCGTGGCTCATCTGGGGGGGCTCATGGGGCGCCCTCCGTCCCGGGGGGGCTGCTCCGGCCCGGCGCCTCTTCCATCGGAGCCCGGCGGGGTCGGGGGTCCTGGCTGGGCTGCGGCGGGGGTCGGGATCACGGCAGGGGCAGGGCGGGGAGGGATCCTCGGCAGCAAGCGGAGCCCTGGAGCATTTTATCTGCAGGAGACAGCGGGAGAGCGGCGTCAGTGGGGAGGGACCGCGGTGGGACAGCCCGGGGGGCTCCGGGAGGAGCTGGGGCTGGGAAAGGGAGGGACAGGCAGCAGGGACCAGGAATTCCCGGCAGCAGACTCCCAGGGAATGGAAATCCAGCAAGGGATTCTCTCCATCAAATTTTGGGGAGCACTGACATCCCCACAAACAGCAGGGACCAGGAATTCCCGGCAGCAGGCTCCCAGGGAATGGAAATCCAGCAAGGAATACTGTCCACCAACCACTCCTCCTGGATTTTGGGGAGCACTGACAGCCCCAAAAACAGACTGGCAGCAGACTCCCAGGGAATGGAAAACTAGCAAGGAATACTGCCCATCAACCACTCCTCCTGGATTTTGGGGAGCATTGATGACCCCACAAACAGCAGGGCCCAGGAGAATTCCCAGCAGCAGACTCCCAGGGAATGGAAATCCACGCAAGGAATACTCTCCATCTATCAGAGATCACAACTACTTCTCCTGGATTTTGGGGAGCACTGACAGCCCCACAAACAGACTGGCAGCAGATTCCCCAGGAGGGGAAATCCAGGCGAGAGATGTTCTCCACGCACCCGACCACCAGAGCTGTTTCTCCTGGGTTTCTGGGAGCACTGATGGCCCCCAGACCTGCACACCCACCCCAAAAGAGCCCAGCTCTCCCCCAGCCCATCCTCACACACTCCAGAGCCACATCCCAACCACGGATGCCTAAGGAATTTCAGTGGAGCTGGTCTCACCTCGCAGCACTAAACCAGCCCGGGACACCCTGGAGATCCTGGATTTTGAGGGATTTGAGGAATTCTTCCTTTGTCCCTCCCTCCCTTCCCCCAGCTCCTTAATCCCCTCGGCACAATCTCAGTTTGCCTCCATCAACCATTCCTGCTGGATTTTTGGGATCACTGACAGCCCCACAAGCAGCAGGATCAGGACTGGCAGCAGATTCCCCAGGAGGGGAAATCCAGGCGAGAGATGTTCTCCACGCACCCGACCACCAGAGCTGTTTCTCCTGGGTTTCTGGGAGCACTGATGGCCCCCAGACCTGCACACCCACCCCAAAAGAGCCCAGCTCTCCCCCAGCCCATCCTCACACACTCCAGAGCCACATCCCAACCACGGATGCCTAAGGAATTTCAGTGGAGCTGGTCTCACCTCGCAGCACTAAACCAGCCCGGGACACCCTGAGATCCTGGATTTTGAGGGATTTGAGGAATTCTTCCTTTGTCCCTCCCTCCCTTCCCCCAGCTCCTTAATCCCCTCGGCACAATCTCAGTTTGCCCATCCACATTTCCCCCGCGGTTTTCCAAGCTGGAATTTGCCCAGGACTTTGCTGCCACTTCCTCCTGCAGGAAGCGCCACGTGCTCCCTCATGGACACAGAGCAATCAATCCCTCACATTTCTCTTTTTTTCTCTTTTTCTTTTTCTTTTTTATTTTTTTTTTCCCACCGGGACAGTTCCAGTTTGGGAGCTCGGGATGGCAACAGCGAGCCCAAGGGTTTGGGCTGGGCTGATCCCATCAGGAATTCCTGAGCTAAAGCTGGGATCAAGGGGCGCAGGGGAGGAGAATTCAGGACAGGGACATCCCGAAGGGGATGGAAGGGACAGCAAATCCCACCCAGGGACACCTTCCATGATCCCAGAGTGCTCCAGCCTGGCCTGGGACACTTCCAGGGATGGGGCAGCCACAGCTTCCCCGGGAATTCCATCCCAGCCAGGAATTCCTGCCCAAAATCCACCCCATCCTCCTCTCTCCCAGAGATCCCTGTATTGTCGTTTCTGTTCCAGCAGAATTTCCCCACCTTTGGAGTGAATTTTAACTGGACAGGAGATGAAGCAACCAGTGCCTCACTAAGTAATATTAGTAACAATAAAGGGAATCTTGTGAAGCGCCACACTGGGGAAAGAAAGGAAAAAAATAACCAGTTCCACGATGAACTTCATTAAAACACTCCAGGGTTCCTAAATTACTCCAAATTAATTTCCTGGAGGTGCCTGGCAGGGACTGCAGGCTCAGCACCACCGCAGGGCCCATTCCCACTGCTCCATCCCCAAATCCCACATTCCCAGCCCCGCAGGAAATCCTGGGAGATGGGCCTTTAATGCTGGATTGTGGGCACAACTCACATTCAGATGGAAAAATTATAAAATCAACTGGTTTTGGCCAGCTGGAATTCCCAATCCGAGACCCAGGAAGCCGTGGGAAGGATGAATCCCAGTTTAGCTTTTCCTTCCAGAGGGATGGATTATTCAGGAGCTCAGGAAATTCCCAGTTCCATGTAGAAAACACCTGATTATTTCCTCATCATACTAAGCATCTCTAGGAAGCTGCAGAAGGAAATCAGGAATTCTACTGCAGAGCCAGGAAAACTTGCCAGGAAAAGGAAATTTCACCTTTTCTCCTGCTTACTAAATGGCAAAAAATTCCTGCCAATATTTCACCTCCGCTCACTAAAGGGGTCTTGTACGTAAAAAAACCCTTTTTACCAAGAGGAATCACCTCAAATCAAGCCCACAGTGGGGTTTATTCTGAATTATCAAAGCTGTTTGCTCTGAAAACCACTTCACTCTGCAGCATCAGCGGCTGCCGTGGCTTTGAACCTTTCACTGCCACCCTCAAGGGACCCACAACTTTCAAAACCATTATTTAAATAAAAAGCAAAGCCCTCCTTGGCCATTTAGTACAAACAGCAGCTCTGAAATACTGCCCTAAAAATGCTCTTAAAACACATTTCCCCCTGCTTTTAAATTTCTAATCCCAAAGCAGCGTTTGGGTGTTTTTAATCCCAAAACACCCAAGCGTTTTTTGTTGTTTTAAAGGTGAATTTAATTATGTCAAGACAGATTTTTCCACAGAACAAATTCCAGTCACGCTGCCAAATGAGAGATGCAGGCCGTGATTAAGATGTAAAAAGGAAACAAGAGTTTCAAAGCGATTTTTGATGCTTATCAAGCCCCAAACCTGGGGAATATCTGCAGCAATCAAAGGTTTGCAAAGACTCCGACATGAAAAGCTCGAACTCTGAAGAAAAAAAAGCACAATTTGCAGACAAAAGAGTGGGCGGAGGAAGCTGGTGAGTGTGTGGGAGCAACTTCACACCGAGGTTCTGAAGAAAAACCGCATTTTTTGGTGTTACCGGTACTAAAAATAGAGATTCGGGCTCGGCTGGGGAGGCCTCGGCCCGGCCTGGCCTTGGGGGAGCTGGGCCGGCCCGAAGGAAAAGTGAGGAAAAACTGAGGGAAAAGTGGGGAAAAAGTGAGGAAAAACAGGATTTCAGGAGAAGGTGAGGATGTGAGGGAAGCAGGATTTGAGGAAAAATGAGGGTGTGAAGAAAAGCTGAGGAAAAACTGAGGGTGTGAGGGAAAAACTGGAGGGAAACTGACCGAGGGTGTGAGGGGAAAATTGAGGAAAAACTGAGGGCATGAGGGAAAAATTGAGGAAAAATTGAAGGTGTGAGGGAAAAATTGAGGGTGTGAGGGGAAAAATTGAAGAAAAACTGGGGGTGTGAGGGAAAAATGAGGAAAAATTGAGGGTGTGAGGAGAAAATGAGGAAAAACTGAGGGTGTGAGGGAGAAATTGAGGGAAAACTGAGGGTGTGAGGGAAAAATGAGGAAAAATTGAGGGTATTGAGGAAAAATTGAGGGTGTGAGGGAAAAATTGAGGGTGTGAGGGGGAAAATTGAGGAAAAACTGGGGGTGTGAGGGGAAAAATTGAAGGAAAAACTGACTGAAGACTTGGGGAAAATTAAAGATTTCAGGAAAAGCTGAGGGTATGAGGAAAAATTAGGGAAAAACTGAGAGGATGAGAGGGAAAATTGAGGAATTCAGGAAGAGCTGAGGACTTGAGGAAAAGCTGAGGATGTGAGGGGAAAAGTGAGGATTTCAGGAAAAACTGAAGATTTCAGGAAAAGCTGAGGGTGTGAAGATGTTTTCCCACTGAAACTCCGTGAAATCCCCAGGTCATGTGAATTCTGGAGGGAATAAGCACAGATTGCACCAGGAAAACACAAAATGGGCTAAAATGACATTTTTGGGGTGTCCTGCGCAGGAACTGGCCTCGATCCCTGAGGGTCCCTTTATCAGGATATTCCATAATTCCATAAACGGGTCCATAACAGCTCAATAAATCTGCAATATTGCAATAAAAAAGCCTCAATAAACTCTCCCAGCTGGAAGCACAGGTGCCTGGAACAGGCCCAAGCATTCCCAAACAGTGGGAAAACACATCTGAAGGGAATTATTTCAATTATTTCTCTCAGCTCTCAATCCCCTCTTTCTTGGGCTGCTTTAGGTGCAAAAAAAACCCCTGAAAATCTGTTTTTAAGTGGGGAAGTTTTATCTCCCAGAGCCTCACCGGGGACATCCCGGTGCTTTTGCATTTCCATGGGAAGTGTTGGAGGTGCCTGAGCCCATGGAAATGCAAAATAAATGCAAAATAAATGCAAAATAAATGCAAAATAAATGCAAAATAAATGCAAAATAAATGCAAAATAAATGTAAAATAGGGTGTGAGGGAAAAATGAGGAAAAATTGAGGGTGTGAGGAGAAAATGAGGAAAAACTGAGGGTGTGAGGGAGAAATTGAGGGAAAACTGAGGGTGTGAGGGAAAAATGAGGGAAAATTGAGGGTATTGAGGAAAAATTGAGGGTGTGAGGGGGAAAATTGAGGAAAAACTGGGGGTGTGAGGGGAAAAATTGAAGGAAAAACTGACTGAAGACTTGGGGAAAATTAAAGATTTCAGGAAAAGCTGAGGGTATGAGGAAAAATTAGGGAAAAACTGAGAGGATGAGAGGGAAAATTGAGGAATTCAGGAAGAGCTGAGGACTTGAGGAAAAGCTGAGGATGTGAGGGGAAAAGTGAGGATTTCAGGAAAAACTGAAGATTTCAGGAAAAGCTGAGGGTGTGAAGATGTTTTCCCACTGAAACTCCGTGAAATCCCCAGGTCATGTGAATTCTGGAGGGAATAAGCACAG